TGCTTCGCCAGCCTCTGTGCGAGTGACCGATCAGGTACCCATGAGTAGCCCGAATGCGAAAACGTTCAATAGCCAAGTCGCACATTACCCACTGGAAGAAAACATAGATCAGGAAGCAGTGTCCCCGTTTCCCTTTTCTATTGTTCTCCACAGTTATTGTTCTACCCCTCCTCCAAGAGGCTGCACAAAAGTAAAGAATAATTCTTTCTCACTCAGTGAATTATGAGCCATGCCTTAGGAGTTTTTTCACTGTCTGCTCTTCTTGCTCGTTACAACTCTGGTCTGTGTTAGCTGACATCACCACATGTGAGAGTATTACTTGAAACAAGCGAGTAGTCGCCTACAATTGTGTCAACGAATTCTTTAAAATGTTCGGCTGTGCCGATATTTCTCAAATACTATGTACCAATAGGGAGTTCAAAGGCGTTTGCCTATATTTCCTTTAATAAACTTGGCTTGACTTGACCCTCTCCACAACGCTGAAAGACGAAAATGTGATTTATGCTTGCCTTATGATTGTGCCGATGGAGGGGAGAAACATGGCGAAAAGGACGCAGATCAGAAGCATGATCACATGAAATGCGGAGACTTTCCAGAATCTGTACAAAGAAAGCGCGCACATTGAGGGAGAGGGGGTAAGTTAACATATCTTCAAGTTGAAAGTAAAAACGGAGTTTGTAGCACTTGTTACCATGGTAGAGAAAGTTCCTATTATGAGACAGGATGAATACGTAAGCATCAGTAGAATAATTGACTAATTGGAACTTTTGGAGCTGTTTTTAAGCGCGTCCTCCGAAAAGGGAGAAATAACCAGAACGAACGGGAAAATAATCAGCTAGATCTACTTCATTTTGCTGTGGGCAATTTTGCTGACCTGCGTCGCAGAAACTGATCATAGGAACGGCCTGCACCATTTAACCGTAGCAATTCGCGGGAGGAGCAGACCTTGACATCCTTGTTTATTGATTATCAATCTTACTTTCAATTTTCGATCTCCCTCAGCCTATCTTCAGCCCACGCTCTGAAGAAAAAAACTGTTTTTAAATGCATTAAACAAGCATCTGACACAAATACAACTTTTTTTTCTGTATATTTAAAACACCAAGTTTTCTCTCCTAAACTACCCATATTAATACCATTCTCGTCTTACAGGCGACCTTACGGCGTATTTGGGGGAGGGGAGGGGACGAGGGAGGGTTGCACACACACCAACTTCCAGCCTAGTTCGGCTTATCCGATTAAGAATTTGACAGTAAAATCAAAATTGTGATCTAGTTCTAGACCGTGAGCTGCCGTAAGAAATAACGACTATGCCCTCGATGTTTGGGCTTCGTTTGATATGCTCACATTCGGTGGCAGTCGGTCTTGTAGCGTCCGTTGTAGTGCAGCCTGAGCTCCTCCGCCACTTGCTTGTAACGTGGATAATTAGATACAAATTAGGAATTAATACATAAGTATAGAACTTCATCCACTCACTTAGCGTTAATGAGTCAGAGACAGTTTAACCAATATCAGAGACGCAACATT